GATTAATTAATTAAATTAAAAAAAAAAAAAAGAATGGTGGTCATAGATCAGTATACATATTTTATGAGTTTGCTGACACCAAAAATAGCAATAGGTGTGTTTTTTCCCCATGGCTCATGTTTTTTAGTGACAGTGGTCGATTTACGAAAACATCTATCACTTATTTTAAAAAAAATTTTAATGTTACTTTTGAGAGAGAGAGCACAAGCGGGAGAGGGGCAGAGAGAGGGGGAGACACAGAATTCGAAGCAGGCTTCACGCTCTGAGCTGTCAGCACAGAGCCCAATGAGGGGTTTGAACTCACAAACTGTGAATCATGACCTGAGCCGAAGTCGGACGTCTAACTGAGCCACCCAGGCGCCCTTACATCTACCACTTATTGCCTGAAATTGAGGAAAAGAAAAAAGTGCCCTGGTGTCTTGAGTTTCTACCTAACGTATTTGATAAGGATGGTGAGGGAAGTTTGTGTATAAAACTGTCTCTCCTTCTATATCTAAAGAGTGGGTTGTTGCAGGAATCAAATGAGAGAATTCATGGAAAGCAGTTAGCAGAGGTCTCAGTACACCCTCAGTAAATGGTGGCTTACCCCTGCTCCTCTCTCTTCTTAATTACAAAATTTCCAGTATCAATAGGTCCCAGATTTATTTTGATTTTTCTTATGATCAGATCTTACTGGGCTTGTTTGTTAATATAGTTTAATATTTTTTTCAAGTTACTGCTCAAACTTTTTTTTCTAATTAAGGTATAACATACATATGTGGAAATGCATGGATCTTAAGTGCACAGTCCAATGAGTTCTGGTAATTGGGTGTACCCGTAGAATCCACACCCCTGTTAATATAACAGACCTTTCCATCGCCCCAGGAAGGTCCCTCATTGCCTGCCTGCCCAGTCAGTTCCCATCCCGTCTACCCACAGAGACAACTGCTGTTCTGATTTCTTTCACCATAGATTATTTTTGCCAGTTCTAGAATTTCATTGAATGAAATTTTATTGTGTTGTCCTCTATTGTGTCTGGAGGTTTTCACTCAGCATCATGTTTTTGAGGTTCACTCATGTTGTGTATATCAGTAGTTTTTCTCTTCTTCTTTCGTTTTTTAAAAATTTTTTTATTTACTTTTGAGAGAGGTAGTGCAAGAGGGCACCAGAGGATCCGAAGCAGTGTCTGCGCAGTCTGACAGCAAGCAGTGAGCCCGAGGTGGGGCTGGAACTCAAAAATTGTGAGATCATGACCTGAGCCGAAATGAAGAGTCGGGCACTTAACTGACTGAGCCACCCAGGTGCCCCTAATGGAGTCCATTTTAAACCGGCTCGTTAGGGGGCGCCTGGGTGGCTCAGTTGGTTGAGCGTCCGACTTCAGCCCGTGTCGTGATCTCACGGTTCATGAGTTCGAGCCCCGCGTCAGGCTCTGTGCTGACGGCTTGGAGCCTGGACCCTGTTTCAGATTCTGTGTCTCCCTCTCTCTTCCCCGCTCATGCTCTGTCTCTCAAAATTGAATAAACATTAAAAAAAAAATTAAAAAAAAAAATAAACCAGCTCATTAGTTGTGGTTAGTGCTTCCTAGGTCCTAGGACATCTTCGCTACTCCCAAGTTCACAGACATCATTTTCCTGTATTTTCTGTCAGAAGATTTACACCTCCTTACCTTTAGTTCTATGATCTATTAAGAATTAATCTGTGTGATGGTGTGTGATATAGATCAAGGTTTTTATCATTGTTTTTGTGTTTTGGTTTGGTTTGGGTTTTTGCATTTAAACAGGAGTTGTTTCAGCCTTGTTTTTTCCCCCATTGAATTGCTTGATGCCTTGACTGAAAATTAAATTGACTGGTAAGTGTCAGGCTCTTTCTCTTGAAATCAGGCAGTGTAAGTCCTTGGACTTTGTTCTTCATTTTTGAGATAGCTTTTTAGGACCTTTGCATTTCTACATAAATTTTACACTCAGCTTGTCAGTTTCTATTTTTTAAAAAAACTGCTGGGAGTTTGTTTAGAATGATATGGCATCTACAGAGTAATTTACGGAAGAATTAACATTTTAATAATATTAAATATTATTCTAGTCCTTGAATATATTATGTTGTTCCATTTATTTGGGTCTTCAACAGTGTTTTATAATTTTCAATGTAGAAGCTTTACACATATTTCTATTAAATGTATCCCAAAGTATTTTTGATGCTGCTATAAATGTTACTTGAAATTTTTTAATTTTCTATTTGTTATTATAGAGAAATAGGAATTTTGCATGTTGACTTTGTATGCCTTACTAAATTTACTTATTCTAGTAGTTTTTTTTGTAGATTAATGTTGTCTACATACACAATCATGTCATCTGCACATGGTTTTACTTCTTCCTTTCTGATCTGTTTATGCTCTTTATTTTTTTCATTGCCCAATTGTACTGGCTAAGACTTCTACAACGTTAACAGAAACGGTGAGAGCAGACATCCTTGTTTATTCCCATTCTCGGGGGAAAATTTTTCACCATTAGGTATGATGTTAGCTATAGCTTTTTCATAGATGTTCGTTATCAGGTTGAGGAAGTTCCTTCCTATTTCTTGTACACTGGGAGTTTTGTTTTGTTTTTTTTAATCATGACTACATATTGAATTACATCAAATGTTTTTTCTCCATCTATTTGGAGAACAGATAACTTTTCTGTTTTATGCAGTTACTAGGGTAAATTATTTTGATTTTCAAATGTTAATCATCCTTGCATTCCTAGGATAAACCCCATTTAATCTTGATATGTTATCCTTTTTCTATATTTCTGGATTTAAATTCCTACTTAATACAGGTTGTGTCTATGTTAATGAGGAGTATTGGGCAGCAGTTTTTATTTCTTGTAATGTGCATGTCTGGTTTTGATACCAGGGTTATGTTGGCCTTAAAAAAACTAGTTAAAAAATGTTTCTGCTTCAGTTTTCTGAAGGAGTTGTTTAATGTGGATATTTTTCTTTCTTTTAAAAATTTTTTTTTGAGTTTATTTATTCAAGAGAGAACAAGTGCAAGCAGGGGAGGAACAGAGAGAGAGGGAGAGAGAGAGAATCAGAAGCAGGCTCCACTCCCTGTCAGTTTGGAGCCTGATGTGGGGCTCGATCCCACCAACCATGAGATCATGACCTGAGCTGAAATCAAGAGTCTGCTGCTTAACCGATTAAGCCCCTCAGGTGCCCATATGTTTTTCTTTCTTAATGTTTGTGATAGAAGTCACCAGTAAAACCATCTAGGATTGGAATGTTCTTTGTGAGAAGATATTGAAATGTGAATTCGTGGGTGCCTGGATGGCTCAGTTGATTGAGTCTCGGACTCTTGATTTCAGCTCAGATCATGATCCCACGGTCATGGGATTGAACCCTGATTCAGGCTCCTCACTGAGCATGGAGACTGCTTAAGATTCTCTCTCTTTCACTCTGCCCCATCCCCCACTCTCGCTTGCTCCCT